CACGGATCTTGTGCAGAAGGCCTTTCCTAGTTGTCGTGTCGAGGATTTGCTTCAAAGGGTCGATGGCAATGACAAAAAGGAGAGGGGAGATGGGGTCCCCCTGCCGAAGCCCTTGGCCATGCTTGTTGGGAGAGCCGGCTACCCCATTCAAGAGAACCCTCGAAGATGAGGAACAAAGGAGAGCCGCAATCCACTCCCGAGATTTGCTAGGGAAGCCACGCCTCCGCAGGAGGTCAAGCAAATACTCCCACTTGACGGAGTCAAAGGCCTTGTGAATATCCAGCTTGAACAGGAGAGAAGGGGTCTTGCTCTTGTGCAGGCGACGAGCAAGGTTCCTAACAGACATGAAGTTGTCATGGATACTCCGCATTTTGATGAAGCCACTTTGGGCGTTGGAGACGAGGGCGGACATGTGCGGTCCAAGCCTACTAGAGAGCACTTTGGCGATGAGCTTGGCGACCGCATGAATGAGACTAATAGGCCTGAAGTCAACGATGCTCTCCGCCCCATCCTTCTTGGGAAGCAACAGAATATTCGCAGAGTTGAGCCAGTGGAGGTTTGTTGTGTGTAGGGAGTCGAAGCGCTGGATCACCGCCATGAGGTCAAGCTTGACGATGGCCCAACACTTCTTGAAGAATAAGCCGGTGAAGCCATCCGGCCCCGGGGCCTTGTCGCTAGGCATGCTATTTATTGCCTCGAGGACCTCCTCCTCAGTGAAGGGCAAGTCAAGCTCGTGCAGGTCATGCGACTCCAGATTGAGCTCCTCCCAATTGAAGTTTGTCGTACTTCTGCTTCCTCTTTTCATGACATGCGAGAAGTGGTCATGGATTATCTTCTCCTTGGCCTTGTGTTCGGTTACCCACCCTTGATCGTTCATGATGCGGTGTATGTGGTTTTTTCTCCTCCGCGCGTTGACTCGACGGTGAAAGAACTTGGTGTTGGCATCTCCTTCCTTGATGTTAGTGATTCGGGCACACTGCTTTTTGCGTGCTTTCTCAAGCACGGCCAAGCTTATCACCCTTCTCTTAAGGCGAGCACGAAGGTCACGCTCCTCAGGGGAGAGAAGTTTGCTCTCCTGGGCAATGTCGAGGCGAAGGATAACCAATAGGGCGGCGTGAAGATGGACCTTAGCCTTGGAGAAGAGGCCTCTACTCCACTCCGAGAGCCGCATGGCCGTCTTCTTTAGCTTGTGGAAAAGCAGAATGTAAGGGTCGGTGTGTTCAACTGGCTCTGCCCAGGCCTTTTGGACCACTTCGGTGAATCCGGGCATAGACGCCCAAAAATTCTCGAATCTAAAGGTCCTAGGCCTCCGCGGCCCCTTATCCTCGGCAAGCAGAAGGGGGCAATGGTCAGAGAGAGACGAAGATAGCGCATGGAGAACATGATCATCAAAGGTTGTGTCCCACTCCGCATTGCAAAAGAAAGAGTCAAGCTTGCACAAGGTAGGATTTGACCTCTCATTGCTCCAGGTGAACCTCCTGTGCTTGCTCTTGTCCCTAGCTCGGTAAATCTGGTTGAAATCCCCGGAGGCTAACCAAGCCACCCCCGTAGGTGGCTTATGTGCAACAAGCTCAGCAAAGAACACATCTTTGAGCGAGTGGTCGGTAGGGCCGTAGACGGTGGTTAGCTTGAAGCTCACGCCCGAGTCACGGACCCGAATCATGGCCGAGAGGCAGAAGGTAGTAACGGTAATGTTGGACAGTTCCACCAAGAGATCATCCCAAAGGAGCATGATACCCCGCCCCCCGGGTGTCATTTGCTGGACGCTGCGCAGTCTATGGCCCCCCAAAAAAGCCGCTGTGAACGGGTCTATATTGTCGAGCTTCGTCTCTTGGAGGCACACAACATGGCAAGAGGAGGAAGCGATAGTGGCGTTGACTGTCGACCGCCTATCAGGGCAATTGAGGCCCCTGACATTCCAACTCAAAAAATTGATCGGTTGTGTCGACATGATCTAACCATGATAACCCTTGACCAAAGCCACATAACATGTGCCAGGATAGTGGAGTTCGAATCAGCAGCATACAGACTACAGAAAGATACAAAAGCCAACTCCAACGGGTGTACAGCCACCCCTACAGACTTGAAACAAGGCGTCATCACAATACGCCCATACAGCACACTTCCAGTATAAATCTGGACCTCTAAGCACGTACGCATATTAACTAACATTGGAAACTGAAGGCCCTAGGCGTATCGGCATATTGAGCAGCAACTCAAGTTGCTTCCTGCTGCAGCACAGGCTCCTCGTCAATCCTCTCTAGGTCCAGCGCGGCTCCACCTCCATGCGTCAGGAGCGCCTCTTCCACAGCAGCAGCATCAGTGTCGTCGAGCTTGAATAGGCCCCTCATGGCTGTGAGCACCTCCGGCGAAAGCTGCTCCTTGAAGCGGTCCGCGAATGCGTCCAGGGCAGCCGCAGTCACGTCCTCGCCGTCTTTGACGATGCCCAGAGAACGGCAAACCAGGATTTCAGCCACCTTCGGACGAGCCGTCTTCGGACGAGCCGTCACCCGCGTCTTGTGCAGCGAGAGTGCACCGCCAACCTCAGAGATGGTGACTCCTGCCAAGGTCTTCCGACGCGCCGCTGGAGCTCGCGGAGGTGTTGCAGCCGGGGTGGGGACGGGCAGAATGGCGGCCTGCCGCTCCCCGAAAAGCGGCGCTAGGCACTGGAGGCCAACCGCACCGGAAGCGTCGGCGCCGCACAAGAGAGGTAGTACGACGCACCGGCCCGCTGGACGACAGGGGAGGCGTTTCCTGCCAAGGTCTTCCGACGCGCCGCTGGAGCTCGCGGAGGCGTTGCAGCCGGGGTGGGGACGGGCAGAATGGCGGCCTGCCGCTCCCCGAAAAGCGGCGCTAGGCACTGGAGGCCAACCGCACCGGAAGCGTCGGCGCCGCACAAGAGAGGTAGTACGACGCACCGGCCCGCTGGACGGCAGGGGAGGCGTTGGGGAGGCCTCGAAACCAGGGGGCCTGGAGGGGGACGGCACCGGCAGCAGGAGCATGGGGGGGCTCACAAAGCTGGAGCAGCGCCGAGCTCGGCCCGCCAGCGCCAGGCAGGAGCATGGCTGACCGGGCTTCGTTCCTCTTTGATCTTGGCGATGGAGGCAGGCCGGAGGTAGGCGACAGCGGCGGCGACACCGGTGGCGTGAGGGCCTCCTGGGAGCGACGCCTGGCAGCACGCGGCGAGGGATGCCGAGAGGTGCTGCGGCTGCGCCCAACGTCCAGTGGCTCGGCAAGGAGAGGCAGCATCTCAGCCACGCGGGCCGCCTTGGCGCTAGAGGAGCTAGAGCCGGCCAGGACGGCCGGCACATCGGCAGAGCGCCGGCGACCGTGGCGGTCGCGACCAACATCGTCATCACGGCGGCCGCCGCGCCCGTTGTCGCGGCCCGCGCCCCACCCCTCCCTGTTGCGTGAGCCGTCACGGCCCCTGCGGTCGCGGTCATCGCGGCGCCTGTCGCGGTCACGGCGGTGGTTGCCGTCACGGCCCCTGCGGTCGCGGTCATCGCGGCGCCTGTCGCGGTCACGGCGGTGGTTGTTGACGGGCCTGGAGATGCGCTCCCGCGGATCGCGAGCCTGCCGCTCGCCGTCGACGATCCAGTAGTAGCAACCCTTTAATCCAGCCCCTCAAATAAGGCGTCTTTCACAATTAGGTTCTTTCGACGAGTGGGAGCAAACAAACCAGGAGCAATTGATTTGGGCGCCTGACCAATAAGCCATCGATCAGCCAGAATTTAGCCCGAGGGCCATCCCCGATCTCAATTTCAGTGCACACTGAGAAGAGAGCCTTGTCAATGTGATCACAAGGGAGGCCAGAGCCTGACCAGGGTCTCTGCTCATCGGTCCTTGCATACCCAGGACAGCGATGAAGGGCGCGGATATAACAGGTGATGTCCTTTGGTGCTGCTGGCCTTCCCGCCATGAACATCATCGTCAACATTCCATAAGAAGTTCCTACAGGTTTCCTAAAGTTGAGCAGGAACCCAAGGTAGCAGCAAGGGGGAGAGCCAGCAGCACCACCAAAATCATGGATAATCTCCTCAAAATTATAGATGAGCAACACACTTTTTTAGATTGACTATGAAACCCAAGGAATCAATCACCGAAGCATTGCAGAATTGCCTTCTCCGAGGATATCTTGTGTGTAGGGGTTGACGAAGAGGGCGGCATCGTCAGCATATTGGTGCGGAATTGCCTTGACTCCCAGGCAACCTACCAGCCCTGGACGCCAGAGTGGACGAGATACCACTTTCAGTAGCCATGTCCAGGAGTTTCTGGAGCGGCTCCATTGCCAATTTGACTACATTTCAGGTGTAGCCTTGTGGGGGTGAAGAACATATTGTGCAGTTTTACATGAGTATCTCTGAGCCATGTGATGATCTTTGTGAGGATACTCTAACATACTGAACAGACTTAACGGCCTACTCAGCAGACTGTATGATGCAGCACCCTGACAGATAACATGGATGAATGCATGATACCTCTGAAAAAGATCATATATAACACGCGCATGTCTACACGAGGACAGGCAAAGAAGGCAAAGATTCTGCTAATAGCTTCCCACCCATATTACTGAACACATGTACATTACTTGTCACTTGAGATAGATGTATTAACGAAAATATATATGTATCTTTGATCAAAAGCAATTTGACAGATATCTTTGACAATGCATGGCCAATCTTTTGGGGAATATGTTTCTCACATTTAATCCAAAACAGAAGCTCAAAATGCATGGCAGAACATAAAAGTTTGGTCTAAATTTATTCGTCGGATACAAATATGTCTAGGGCAACAATGTCTCTTTTAAAATAGCAGAAATTTACAAATGAACGACACAACACCAACTATAACTGATAATGAAGTTTCCTCGAGATCCTTCTGTCCAATGCTACACTTCTCGACAGATACAGAACAATGATACACAAATGAAGTGACAAATTCAGGTTTAAGACATCCATTTCACATCAAGAACAAATGAGCAGAGCGAGTATATACCGAATTCACCCCAATCCTGGAAGCATCTGAACCGGATCGAGCATTTGGATGGCAGCTTGTTGCTGTTGCTGCTGATGCTGATGGTGGTGCTGCTGCTGCTGGTGTTGCTGGAGCATGAACTCCTCACCAGGCGCAGGCATTGCAGTTGGCACGACAGGCATGGCCGCTGCCGTCTGTGCCGCCTTGGACTCGATGAGCCGCCACATGTACCAGGCGGCGACGGAGCGGTAAGGGCGCCAGCGCTCGCAGAGCTTCTCCATCTGCGACGGCCGGGGCACATCCTCCAGCCCATACAGCATCTGCACGCCCTTGCGGATCCCGAGATCCGCGGAGGGGAGCACATCCGGGCGCGCCAGGGAGAAGATCATGAACATGTGGACGCTCCAGGCGCCGATGCCGTTGACCATGGTGAGCATTGCGGCGAGGGAGCGGTCGTCCATGGCGACGATGCTGTCGTCGGAGAGGATCCCCGACGCGTACTTGCGGGCGAGGTCATGGAGGTAGGACGCCTTGCGCGCGGAGACCCCGATTTGGCGGAGCTGCTCGGGGGAGAGCGCGAGGACGGCGTCCGGGAGCACGCCGGCCTCGCCGCCGACGAGCGCGATGAACCGGGAGTAGACGGAGGCGGCGGCCTTGAAGGCGAGCTGCTGGTAGAGAACGGATCGGACGAGGGAGTGAAATGGGGGATGCGGGCAGTGGAACGACGGGGGGTCGTGCGCGTCGATGACGGGGGCCAGGGCCGGGTCGGCCGCGCGCAGGTGGCGGATGGCCGCGTCCACCTCGCCGTCGGCCGAGAGGGGCCGGCCCCGGACGGACGGCACCAGGCGGGGCTTCTTGGGCGCCGGGTTGGAGCCGGACGACCGGGCCTTCTTCTTGGGGCGGGAAGCGGAGGGGGGGACGACGAGGGCGGTGGCTGGCGGCGTAGCGGCGGCGGATGCGGCGGGCGACGGGGAGAGGGGATGGGGAAAGGGCTGGGAGAGGGATTGCTCGCCCATGGATGAGGAGGAAAAAGGTGGGTTCTTGACCTTGGGGTGGATCTGGGGCTGGGGGCGTTTGTGGTATTTCCGAGCTGCGACTTATTAAGGTGGGGTTGGCCGGCCTGGATCTGAAGCCGATCGACGACCATTATCACTTTCCAAAATCAATTTCCAAAAGGCGGTAAATCTATTTTTAATGGTTTTGAATTTTTTTTAAATGAATTTGGACAAAAGTTTGTACTACTAGGTATGTTTTGGTTATGGGGCGAGCTATGCATTGGCCGATTTATCTTTTTAAAAGATCGGCCGCCTCGCGAAGCGTCTGATCTAGGTTGCTCAGCGTGCCATACCTCTTTGCAACAAGGGTGTTGTTTTAGAAACAATTATGACTACTGCAACAAGAGCTATGTTTCGGAAACACATCGGTGACCATTGCAACAAGATCTTTGTTTCAGAAACATTGGCGAGGATGCAAAAACATATCTGTGTACGATCCCTCTTTGCAGCAAGGGCTTTGTTTCAGAAACAACTATTGCAGCAAGGGCTTTGTTTTAGAAAATATGTCACGCAAGACCGGGATGGATCAGTAAGGAGGGCTCCCCCGACACCAACAACATCGATGGAGAGGCCATGCGCTGCGTCGCACGTCGTTGGAACGACGACCGAGCCGCGCGGATCTCAGGCACCGTCGTCGACGTCGTGTGGTGGGTTGGCAATCCCGATCTAGATGCAGGGCAGGAGAGATGTGAGCGGTCGCGCGGTCGGCTGCCTGGCCGACGACAAGTGAGGCGGTGAAACAAAAGAGGGATGGAAGTTAGGCGGCGAAGGCCTGCCTCACCGGCGAACGACTATTGCCGAAGCGGGCCGGTGGCTAGCACGGGCGTAGCTGGACATGTAATAAGTCCCTATTCCTCGTGTCTTCTTCCTTGCAATGTCGCATCCTTCTTTTCTAACGTGGCACACATTGCCTTATGATACTTAGGTCACCCATCACCCCTATCCCCTATGGTCTTCCTTTGATAAAATTGTGTGTATGTAATGGGGCAACAAGCCGACAATGACATCCTAAAGTCGAAATAAGGTTCTTCCCGCTATGTCTCTATCCCGGCGATGCATCCTATATCGGTGAAGAGCGCGTAGTTTTACTCCAACACGTCTGGTTGGATCCAATGTTTTGGGTTGGTGTTATCGGCACCAGTATATTAAGGTTGGTGAAGTTGTGTCGGTGAGAGGTGGTTGTTTATTCCTCTCCGTCATGAAAGTTTTTTCATGCACCTCATCATCCTTCTCTTCCAGCAATGGTGGTGGTAGGGTGACTCATTGTACATGGGCGATCCCCAACAGATGTTCTTTCTTTTGGGTACACATCATGTATTCTGGGATGGATGAATCTTATGCTTTTTCCAAGCACATGGTGGCGACAATTTGGGCATGGTTTGGAAGTTCCTAAGTGTTGACTTCCTTCTGCGGTTGCCTCAATGGAGGTGGAAGGAAGGAGTGTGGCGGGAAAGATAACGAGCGCGAAGATGGTGTTATGTATGTGTTTCTCTGTATTCCCCTTTTGCGAAGCCTCTTTGTAATGCATGGACATTGATCATAACAAAATACCCTTTGGGTGTTAAGAAAATAGGAATCAGATGTAAAAAAATGTTTCTTCGTATCATGCGAGACGCAATCCATAAGATGCCACGTGTTAGCACCAAACCTAATCGTACGCCGGGTCGGGCTTGGAAAAGTCCGATCTTGAAACTACAAGCCCGAGCCTAGCCCAAACATTACATTTCAACCTACACACGTAACGACCGAGCCCAGTTCAAAAAGGCAAACGTTGGGCCTGTCTATCCACGACCAGATTTAGTTAGCCCCTATCTCAAAGACTCAAACCGTCTTCATCTTCAGACGTGCCTATGTCTCGCTTATAGCGAGACAAATGGTTGCCACTCCCGCAAGCACACTACACGGAGTCAGTGGTGGCCCGCCCCAGTAGGGACGTGGGGACGTTGTGCTGACATCACGCTAAGTTCATTTTTTTCACATTATTATTTTTTGAAGAATATATTTAAAGATAATAATTTACTTAAAAATAAAAAAGCAAATTTGAAAATGTTACCATATTAACAAAAGATGTTGATAACTTAAAGAATATGTTTGTGGCAATGACAAAATGTTTCCGTGTTTCAGAAAAATGACAGTGAAATTTTTGAAAAATGTGTATACATTGTAAAAAAGAACTTAGTATAAAAAATGGTGTGTACATTTAAAAAATGTAAGTGTCATTTTATAAAAATGTTCCCATGTTTCAAAAAAACGTTTGTGACACTTGAAAAACATGTTAATCATCTACTTAAAAAATGTTAAACATTTATAAAATGTTTCTTATGTATACCGAAAATGTACAATCTGTATCAAAAAAGATACTCCCTCCATGTCTACACTAATTGTTTAGAAACATATATTAAAAATATTAATTATGTTAATCATGTACTTAAAAATATTCAAAACATGTATAAAAAGTATTTTATGTATACGTAAAATGTACAATTTGTATGAAAAAAGATATTCCCTCCGATCCATATTATTAATATGTATCGGACGGAGTAGTCACTCAAACATACTCCCTTCATCCGGAATTACTTGCGCAATTCTGGATTGAGGTACTATATCTGAAAAAATGGTAATCATGTATTTGAAAAATGTTAAATGTCTATAAGGAAATGTTATTTGTGTATATGAAAAATTTACAATCCATGTGAAAAGTAGACGGAAAAAGGTAGAAATCAAAACATATATCTAAAAAGTTGTTAATCATGTATATGAAAAATATTTAAAGAGTATAAAAAATGTTCTTACAATCCTACAGCATACGAAAGATCTACAATTGTTTGAAAAAGTAGACCTCAAAACATATTTTTTTAATGTTAATCATGTATTTTAAAAATGATAAACATGTATAAAAAATATTTCTGTTGTATACAGAAAATGTACAATGTTCAATGAATAAAAGTAGATACCAAAAAATTAAATTAAAAAATTGTTAATTCTATATTTATAAAAAATTAAGCATGCATATAAAAATGTTCCTCATGTATAAGAAAAATGTACATTGTGTGTGAGAAAATGTCTATTGCCATTAAAAAATGTTCATAGTGTATTTGATTTTTTAACCGTGTATTCATAAAAGTGTTCAAAACATATATTTAAGAACAAAAATGTACATTGTGTATTTAAAGATTGTTCAACATGTGTCAACAAAATGATTTACGTGTGCACTAAAAATGTACATTGTGTACGGAAAGAAGTAGACATGTGTTCTACAAAAAAAATAACCTATGAGAACCAATAAAGAACAAAGAGAAATGAGGAGAATCAATGAAAACAAAAAGGGAAACAAATAAACCAATGAAAAAAAATGAAAATGGTGAAACCGAGAAAGAAGCAAAGAAAAAGAAAGAAAAAATCCAGTGAAACAAAAATTGAAAAAGGGTGGAAAAGGGATAGAAAAATGGAAGGAGACCATGAAGAAACAAAGAAAAAAAGAAAAGGAAAATAAAAAACAAAGAAATTAAAGAACCAAACCAAACCAATGAACATTAGAGCAAACAGGAAGCTAGCGAACAAAAATAACATGGGAACGGGTCGTCCCATAAATGACGAAAGAGTAAAACCCTTCAGGCGAGACGAGTTGCCATCTTGCTTTAAACAAGATATAAATTTAGCGTTCATCTTCCCCCAAAGCTTATTCCTGACAGGGGGAAGCCGATCGAGCAATTTGTTTATTTTTGCTTATTCCTACTATTTTGGATTTGAATAGGTAATCTCGTGCTCTCTTGAATCCCAATCAGCACCCAACTTTAACGTGCCTCGTCTCTCACTGGATCTAGGAGAAGATGATTCGTGGGGAGGAAGAAAGGGAAGCACGGTAGGAGGAAGGATTTGAAGGAGATCAACTCATGTTCAGTGTTTGCAATAACAGTTTGTACCCCTCCACACTACACACACCACACAACATAAGGTTGACCACTACCAGTTGTCTATGCCAACTCACCATAAGGATCATGTAGATTCACAACCATGGTTTTCTCTCATGTGTCATGCAATAATGTATCAATTTTAGATTGTAGTGTGTCATTTTGCATGTGTATGTGTAATAGAATGTGGGGTGCAATCTTGCAAAGAGATGAACACTCACATTCCCAGCCCCTTGCAGGAGTGTACATGAGAAGAAAAGTTTGTTGGTACTTGGTTTTGTTCATAAAAAGTTACGCCAAATAGAATAGAATGATGTAAATGTAAGTTTTGGTAATAAATAACATGCTACATGTTTTTTTTTCTTTTGTGAGCTCCCACATTTCCAATGGTCGACCTTTAGTAACAGCAAGTGTCTACAATATGGTTATGCATGTGAGTTTCCATAATCTCTTGCATGAAAGTCTTGATGACAAAAGGTTTCTTTTATAGCTTGTTGGACATTTGGGCCTTCTCATCGGTCTTAAGAGCATCTTCAGACGACCCCTTGTATCTTAACTTCTCATATACCTCCTTATACTTAACCCCTTATAGTTTGAGGAGTTAAATGGTGGCAAGATCTAGCCGAACCGCTATATTTAACTCCCTAATTTTTGTTGACCAATTCTTCTAGCTTCTGGCACATACATTTCAAATAATTGCACGATATTTCATCAATCATTCAAATATGCATAGATTTGATCAAATAGGCACCACATCGATCAAGTTTCATCCAAAATCACCGCAACATAGCATGTCTTATGTCATGGATTGAGCACTACCAAAGGCACGTAACACGAAATAAAACCTCTGCCATCTTGCGAATATCATCAGCCTCTGCCATCTTGCATAGATCGGTGAGGCCAATCTCAATGATTGGTAACAAGCGTCGGTTCCACACAGGAACAATCTCTTAAGTGATGCTCAATCACTTTGGGGTTTGTAGGTTTGGGTTTGGGATGCTTGATGATTTTCACTCAAAATCCTCGGAGGATGGGATGCTCTCAAATGAC